AGAAAGCAATAAGGAAGAAATGAATAGAGGATTAGGATAAGACACGGCGATATAACAGCAGACGGCGGCGAGGATGTGGAGAAGGTAGATAGTCGCAGTACTTTAGTTCGGAGTCCATTGTCGGAGTGACACTGGTTGGGCCGAGCGGCAGATCTGAGCGGAAAACTCCCTCACCATAGGTAGATGGTTACTATCGCATCCCACATTGTTCCCCTCATCGTTATTTTGAGTCAAGTCTTTGTTGAGCTTCTAGCTTTAAGAGCTTATTACAAGACTTGTCACTGGTAAGCGCCTTTTTCTTTCTCATATCACTTTCCTCTTTGCATGCGTTTCCTCGATTGCCCCTCCTAGAATATCTGTGTGCGACCCTAGTGACTCAATCCGCTAACTACTGCCCAAGGGACGGACTATCAAGACACTAGGATATTGTCGGATTACCCATGCTTTGAGCAGTCTTGACTGTGACTCGACCGGATACTTCATACACAACCATGCCACCTACCTCCGCGGCTTTGACGCCTGGTCTGGCGTCTTTTCTCAAGTCCCTCAAGACCACTCCAATCGACACATCCATTGACAACCTGATATCGTGCGTTTCTGGAGTCTCGTAACCTTTTTTGCGCGAAGGGTTACCGTTCTAACAGCTATATCAGACTTCTCAAGCGGAGACAGATCCGTCATTCCAGGTCATGCGCTACCGCGACCGCTTACCTTCTCCTCCGCGTCATCTCAGCTTGCAGGACGACAGATGCAGCTAAGCTGATTGAACGGGTGCAAAGTGTGGGGAGGCGATTGGTGGCCGCTCAGCCAAGAGAGATGGTGGTTGGAAACATCGTCCGCCGTGTACTTGGTCTCATCCGCGACGAAGCTGAGGACGAGAGAGAAGGTGATTTCACTCTCAGTGATGCTGGATCTGAAAGTCAGCCTCAAACGCCTCGTGTTCCCGAAGGTCGGTAAAGCACCGTTCGCCCTTGACTCGTTCTCATCGCTTTGATCTCTAACGCTGATTAATAGACCCGTCCGATCCGTTGTCACTCCGCCATGAGGGCTCTGAGCGTTCGTCCTCAAGGCCGCCTTTCACTTCACTGGCCACCACCCCAATCTCAATGTTCAATCTGCTCTCACATCCGGAGCCTGAAACATCACTCCCCGGTACTCCCGCATCGGCGTCTCCATCCGGTAGACTACTGGGACATACTCCGAGTAGGGATATTCGCGCCGAAGTCCTGGACGGAATTGGGGAGATCATTGATGAACTGGGCCAGGTGGACGACCAAATTGCGGCCTATGCTCTTGACCACATCCACTCCAATGAAATAATCCTCACCCATACTTCCTCCACAACCGTTCAGAAGTTCCTTCTCAAGGCTGCCGCAAAGCGCAAGTTCACCGTGATTCATGCTGAATCCTACCCCAACAATCACGAAGCGACGCACACCACTGTTAGCGGTGCCACTTCCACCGATGAAGAAATTCTCAGCACCGATTCATTCCAGAAGCCGTTGATCGCCCTGGGTATTACGGTCATTCTAATCCCGGATTCGGCCGTCTTTGCTCTCATGTCCCGAGTCAACAAAGTTATTCTGGGCACGCACTCTGTCCTTGCCAACGGCGGGCTGGTGGCCGCAGCCGGAACCCGGGTCATTGCTCGTGCTGCCAAGGTGCACCAGACCCCCGTTGTTGTGGTTAGCGGTGTATACAAACTCAGTCCGGTATATCCATTTGACTTCGAGTCTTTGATCGAATATGGAGATGCTAGCAAGGTCATCTCATATGAGGATGGGGATTTGATGGATCAAGTCGATGTGCAGAACCCTCTGTACGACTATGTTCCTCCGGAACTGGTTGATCTTTACATTACCAATCTGTAAGTCACTTCCCTGGATTTGCTACAAGAAGAAGCAGCACAACTGACTTTGACTTTTCCTGCAATAGCGGCGGCCATGCGCCATCATATCTGTACCGGATCGTGTCAGACCACTACCGCAAGGAAGACATCAACTTCTAGGTCCTTGTGAAGGGTGATGCGAAGCTTATGATTTGTGGGGTCAAAAAGAGTAAATCACGCTCAATCATCACATGAAAAGTCCTTGGAAATCAGAGGCGTTGGGAATAGAAACGGTCGATACCCCAGGAAAGGAATCTATAAAGCTTACCTGTAAACCCCAGTCTATAATAGCGTATCGAGGCCCATTTTATTGGACGGAAGAAGTTACATAGATTACATTCAGGTTGAATTTCGACCATTCGGTTACCGCATTCGTTTAATAACTACGAGCATGAGAGGCGGATCATAATAATCGTGGGGAACAGGGGAAAGCAGATATTGTTTGAACATTTGGCATTCCGGGCCCTTCCCAAAGAAATAAAAAATCATGGCGCCATGTTTTATGAGTATCTCAATCATAGTGACTGCAATGTATTTGCAGGGTCATCCGTCCCGAACCATAATTTTCCAGACCATAGACCATATGTTCCCAGGCTTCGATGGAATGGGGCCCTTTCCCGGCAACCAATCTCCCACGGCATCGTCCATTTCCTTTCGTACAAATTGTTTACGAACGGGGCTTCTCCTTCTTCTCCTTCCACAGAGCGAGCAGACCGACACCAGAGACCTTGACGACCTTGAAACGAACACCGGGAATATCACCCTTGGCCTTGCCCTTACGACCGAAACCAGCAAGGAGAACCTCGTCGTTCTCGTCGATGAAGTTCAAGCAACCGTCGTTGGGGACTGTAGAGATCGTCAAGTCAGCATTTGAGCATTTGCCACCATAATTTCTCTGCTTCTCTTCCACATCTCCCCATCCAAAGCCGATTCTGGACTTTCCCAATCTGTCGTGGCATCCATCAAATATTCCGTCTCTTCTCCATCCCCAGAAGCTTATCGAATGTGCATAATTGATAGAAAAGGGTTACCCACCGAAAGCGGTGACCTTCTTGCCGTTCTTGATCAGCTGGACCTTGACACACTTCCGAATGGCAGAGTTGGGCTGCTTGGCCTCAACTCCGACCTTTTCGAGGACGATACCCTTGGCGTGGGAAGCACCACCGAAGGGAGAGGACTTGAAAGCGGTACCGAGAAGGCGCTTCTTGTAGTGCAAGTCGGCCCAGCGCTGCTCACGGCGGTGGTTGGCGAGCTTGCGCGCGGCGTTCAAACCACGGGGCTTTCCCTTACCCATCTTGGCGTATTATGTTCGAAGGACGGTCAACTGTAGAGAATGAGAGATTTTGCGTTAGAAAAACTTCTTTGTGCGGACTGTTCGTGGGCTTGATGCTGCGAGGGGAGTCGGTATCGGGTTTGTATCAGAAATGGATGTCCGGGTCGAAGAACAATTTTGATCGCAAATCAAGTTTTCCTGTAAAGATCTAGAAGACCAAAAAAGGGAACAAAATTATACGTACCGACTGAAAACAAAAGTTATCGCCAAAAGGCCTGATGGGATGGTTGTCGAAAGTCGAAGGTCGAATGTTCCTTCACTGCCGGCGGTCTCCTCGGGGCGAAAATGTTCTGCTGTGCGCCTTCGCCCTAAACGGCCCGCTAAGCGAGGCCCCGGAGCGGAGAAACATCGGCCGTCGGTTATCGATAAGCGATAAGCATCCAGAGTTGCCAAGTCGTTACAGACTGATAACAGACTACCAAGTACCTCTCTACAAGAATACTGATTAACCATAACATTAGCGGAGGAGATGCACCTCTTCATCCAAGTGATTGCATAACAGCATCATTATGGACGCCGCTCCGAAGTTGGAGAACTTACGGAAGATAAGCTCCCAGCGTCTTCCACCCCCCGTTCTCTTTCAGGGTCCCCCTTCGCATAATGCATCTAATCTCTCTTTGACCCCGCCTCTGCCAGCTGTATCTTCGCCGGCGGGAAGCCAGACGGTCCCTTTGCAACGCAACCGCCCGTCTCGAGCCCAGGGCTCTTTCGATGCGGCTTCCTTATCGCCATTTGTTTCTCGCACTCAGTCTAAAGGTGAAGTCGATCGATCCGAAGCAATATGGCAGGAAATGCAAAATGCACTATCGGAGGTAGAGCTCAGTGCAGTGACCAGCGAGCATGTATTCGGGGAGAGACACTCAGAGGCACTAGAAGATCTCCGTATGAAGCAACTGAAACTCGCGCAAGCCTGGGCCCGCAGTGAGGCCGACGAAGTAGTCGATGCTGCCAAGGGTCTAGAGGCCAAAGGAGTATCTACTTCGCGGCAAGGGGCCCAAAACGTGGGAGCCACCGGCGAAAGAGTCCCGGTGGAAGCTTCCGTTCATGGAAATATGGACGAGGAAACGGAACGAGACATCATGTTAGCCCGAGAAAGGCGAGAGGCCAACGATCGGTACTTCGATCGGGTCAACAACGGTGTCTTGGAAGTGGTTGCCAAGCTTGAAGAAGTTGCACAGGCTATGCGCGCAGTTGAGAGGGAGAGCAAAGACATCTGGAGCGATAATGAGAGCATAGATACAACACATTCGGCGGCAAACACCAGTTGAAAGACTCGCTCAGCGGTGGCGACAGAGCTAATTCGAGGGTCAAAGCAACCCTCCATGTATGGCGTTTCCATTGCCGCCAGCGGTTATCCGCCTTACAGGATCAGTGGTGGGTTCAGTAACGGAAGAAGAACGGCTTTTCCGATAGTACAACGTGGACTCATCGTCTCCCGCCAAGTCCATCCTGAAAGAGCGCAAATTGACCCTAGTCAGGTTGCCCCGCGCACTGACAATGAGGTCGCCGTATGGACAACGTAGCAGTTCCTTCGCTCGGCTCAAGACAGGAATATCTCTTAAGGCGTTGCGCCATGGTTCATACCTACCAGATATACGGATCAGGGAGCAAAATGCACCAGCTAGCGCGTGCGAATCGATAAACCAAGTATAACAGGATTGGAAAAAACAGAATTATAGAATGCAATCACGCTTCATACAGGAAATCCAAGGGTATCTGGTCCTAGCTGCTTGCTGTAGGAAGCAGCAGCGATAAACATGTACAGAGTAGGCAAACTTTTTATTCCTTCTTCATAAGCCTCACCGCAGCCTTCCATCCTGCGATTGCAGTATCTCTTGCGTCCTCCCACCGACTCTCATATGCCTTTCTAGCCAGTGTCTCCACCTCCTCATTCCAGCGATGCTTAAGAAAGTCCTTCAAGGTAGGCTGTAGTCGCGACCTTTCTGGATCAAGCTGTGGCTGGTCCTTCGGCGCCAGACGGCGGTCATATGCGCCAATTGGTGATGCAATCCAATTCAGAGATCTAAGTTGTTCACGGATAATATGACTCTGCTCGAGGCGATTGGCTCGGTGAATTTGGATTGTTAGATATAAGACCGTGGAGGTCAATGCAAACCCGCTGAACTGCGCTCTCATCAGTATCCTGTAGACTGCTGATCTTTTCGGTCGCGCCTGATGCCAAATACTTACAAATCCAGCAAAGAAGCCCATAATGTAGCTCTTATCCTCTCAGTCAGATTACACAAAACCACCGATGTTGTCTTGAGATTAGGCGGGGGAGGATCACACCACCAGTTCAAGGAACAAGGGAGCCGTGATGTCGGCTGTGATCACAAGAGCTGGACAGTCGTTATGTCGGCTGGTGTGAGGTATAGATATCAAGTTAGAAGCTATGTATGCAGAATAAGAAGCAATGCCAAGCATATATTACTTATATGGATCATAGACTATCATGCATTTTCTCTGCAATCTACCTTATGCGGACGGGATGGGGGACCAAATGCGCGACTCCGATTGGCCGCAGCGTTCCAGAATTGAATCTTTCCATCCGGCATCACAGACCAGTGTCGAGCGTCTCATAGAAAAGTACAACTACTGCGTCTTCATCTCTCTACACCTCCCATTGCTATTCAGCCGGTTGCTGCCATTCGAAAAGCAACCGAATATCTATCTTACCTCCTGCCCACCTCCTCCTGTGCTCGAATTCAGGGCAATTCAACGACAAAAGAGAGCCTGCCGAAACCAGGACCATAACTATTCCCCAACACAGCTGTCACCATGGCCGGTGGTGCTGCTAAGTACCGTCATCTCAGCCGCAAGTCGTCGCATCGACAGGCCTTGCTCCGCAACTTAGTCACATCGCTTTTCAAGCACGAGTCTATCACAACAACCTGGCCCAAAGCGAAGGAGGCTCAACGGCTGGCCGAGAAGTTAATAACCCTGGGCAAGAAAAACACGGAAGCTAGTCGAAGAAGAGCATTGTCTGTTTTCTACGTATGTACCCCTACTGGCCCTTTCTGTCGATTCTGGTCAAAAAGCCCTCGGGGGAGACCGAAAGCTTCATTGAACTTGGTTTTCCCTTGCCAGAGGGACCACAGAACCGTTTCTCTCGATGACTTTGACAAACTTCCGTGGCTAACTTCATCATCAGACACCCCATGAAATCCTTCCGAAACTATTTGGGACCCTCCGTGAGCGCTACGCCGAACGTCCTGGTGGTTACACGCGAGTTCTGCGGGTCGAGCCTAAGAAAGATGATCAAGCACCTAGCGCCATTCTCGAGCTTGTTGACGGACCGAAGGATATGCGATTTGCCATGACAGCCCGGACCGTTGCGAGACAGCGAGAACAGGGCCTCGAGACTCTCAACGAGCTAACAACCCTGAATGTCCGCAAGGTGACAAGGTTCCGGAAAGGCGGTGTCGAGGACCTGGAACAGGCGATCAAGCGGTTAGAAATCGAACAGAAGAAAGGTCCTACGACGCATAAAGGCGAACGGGGAGTGGAGTCCAAGCAATAGACCCTGTCGCCGGACCAGTTTCAATGGCCAACAGGAGGAATTTCTCAGGTGCAAGGGCTTAGTTGGGTCACCGGTACTTCTCTCTCCATCGATCTTGGTGCGTTCGGCACTTGTCTGTGATGATTATTGTATTTGTAGCTATACTTTTATCCTTCGTATGATGCCCTTTCTCTCTTGGCATCGACTGGAACAAAATGTCTATATTTGGCAGTTGATTCCGCATTCTCATGAAAGTGTTTAGGTCGGTATTGATCTCGTGTAATCTACTAGAGGAATCACTATATCGTCATTTTCTCTTTTCTATCTTAGTGCAATGATTCCAAAGAGCGCCTGACCGATCAATTATCGGTTGAGAGAGGGTTGGCTATTGACCGCGCAGAGGCGTCGCTACAATCATAGTGATCCCGCTATTTTTAAGATTCTTTTCCATTTGGTAGCGCCATGGTTTATGTCTCTGGGAAAGTATTTTCATCTTCTTTTTGTCAACAATGGAAATGGGCGATACTATCAATAGCCGAAAATATGGCAAACCAGCCCTTCTCAGCAGTCCGTCCACGAGACAGCAGGTGTATGAAGCCAACTATTTGCGTACTCATAGCGAGACTCCCATCTCCTCTTCTTCTATGTTGTCGATCTGGACGAACAAACATTCACTCAGCCTGTTTCACACTACTATCTGCCAGAGATAACAGGGGTTGAACGATGCGCCAGCATGCAACCAAATCGTCAGGTGGCAGAATTTAGTTCATCTTGGGAAGACTTGTCCCTCCCGAAACAACAAGAGGTCCGTTCTTGGAGTTGGTCAGTATGTTGGAGTTGTAGGAGTGCGATGGGGCAGGAGCGATTCGATGCTTCAACTCGAAATCAGAGGGGATCTCGGACGGTGGTGGTTTTGGAGGCAAATGAGAAGGCGTTCCCCATTTTGCGATGGAATCTCTGCTACCGGGAGGGCCACCGCGCGTCACGCTTTGCCCCATCGCGCTTCCCTCTTGAGACTTGTTATTCGGGTCTTGATATCCATTCCACTGAGTCTGAATACCGGGCTGCATGGTGGGATACGAGTTCATGTTGTGTTGGCTGGTCTTACTCGGGTGACCGGGTACAAATGAGCGAGTTTGCGGATTGAATGGGGATCTTGCAAAACTGCCTGGCAGAGGGTGCGAGTTCGGATGAGCTTGCATAGCTGTATTTAGCGATTGTTGCCCTGGATATTGAGCATAGGGATAAGAAGTGGGATTAGGCGGCTGCGAGGGATAATTCGGCCAATGAGCGGTGGCATGGCTGCGATGTGTAGGCTGATATCCCGCAGCATACGGGGACGAAGACCAAGTCGACGGCGACTGCGCATATGGTGGGATGGTGTAGTTGTTCAGCGCAGGCGATGACTTCGCCGACGATTGCTGAGTGACCATCACCGGCGATTGATTCATAGATGTGTATCCTGAATAAGGGGATTGCTGGGGTACAGAGCCGCTCTGCCATGAACCAGTTGATGTCATCTGAGGAGAGACGGGTATCGAGTATTGAGGTAAAGAATTCAGATTGACGTGGTTGGAGTACATAGCACCGTTTGGAGCAGCCTGAGCATAACCCGGAGGAGACATTCCGGGCCCTACCATATATGGGGCTTGGTTAGAAAATGAAGAATCATTCAGTGCCACATTATAGGGAACCGTTCCATTGTTATACTGCATTCCCGGATAGTAGGCGTTGAACTGAGACCGGGCCTCAAAGCTGTCGTCATGTGGAGTCTTCTGTCGGTGTGTTTTCTTGCGTCCACTTGTTGAGCTCGAGCGTGACATACTCGCCCCTTGGTCACTCATATCCGAGGATTTTGTCTCAGGGAAATCGCGGAAAATCCGCTCTCTTGCTTCCTGGTACTTAGCTTCTCGCTCTTCTCGCGTCAAGGCCATTCTGTCCTTGGCAGGGGTGGCCCCGGCTGAGGAACCACGTTCGCCGTCGTTGCCACTGTCCCCTACCTCCGATGCGGTCTTTGAAGGCACTGAAGAACTTGCAGCAGTGCTTCCTTCGGTAGAAGGCCGATCCCCGTCATTCCGGCGCATGATTTTCATGGCTGGGACTGCTGGTGGTGGGGTGCTATGAGTGGCAGCATGTAAATCGGAGAGCGGAGTCGGTCTGAACAGTCAGAACGAAGTCTCAAATTGGTAAAAGAAAATCAAGGAGACGCAGGATTGCATACAATCGGCAAAAGGGTGTCCTATGGAGACGGACAGACGTAACGTTGTTATCCACGAAATGGGTCAAATGATAATAATCACCCAATTTGTGCGCGAGTAGTCTTCCGAAGGCATTTGAAGGTGGAAGCTCCAGAGATTGCTCCCTAAATTAGAACGTCAGAAGCCGAAACGAACAGCGCAACGATCAAAAAGCCATTCACTTACTTCGAATTCTGAATGAAATTGCGAACTTTCTCCTCCAGCTGAAGAATCAGGAGACGATCCTTTGGAGATTTCATCGCCTCAAGGAGCTTTTCGTCCGGCTCCAGAGGGAAACCATTCAAACTGTGTTCAACTGGAAAGCCTTCTGCAGTACTAGGCAGGACAAAATTATTAGCAACGGAGTCCGGGTGAATTATCCCGTCCGGTCGCTGGCCGCCATCAGGAAGCACAACAGGCCGGGGTTTTTGGCTACTCAAGTCTCGCGGATGATCCCTGTATATGCGGACACCAGATTCGGATCCCGTGAGTGAGTTCGGTGCACCAGATGCAGGTCCTGAAAGAGACTCTTCCTCATCAACAGCCTGTACGCTGGCACTATCGTCGGGTCGCAAAGAATCTTTTTCGTCCATCGCGAAAGTGGTAACTGAGGCCATACTCTTTGAATCGAAACTCGTCTGTTTCGTTGAGGACGTCGAGAGATGTGTACGATCATCGTCAAAGGACGCCTCTCGTTTGAGAGCACCGTGTTCATCGACTTCTAAAGGAAAGCTGGGGCTCTGTCTGCCGCTAGTGTCTGTTATATGGACGTCTTGTACAGCTCGCGCTAGACTGTCTGGACATGAAAGCCCTTCCACGTTCTGTGCATCATTTAGTTCGCAGGACCCGAGTTCTTCTGGTTTCGACGGCGGAGCCATTGCGGCTATCTATTATAATCATTAGAGAAACAGAGCCCATCAAATACGCCGTGACGCCTTCACCTAGACCAGGACATACCTTCGCGAAAGACAGGCGATGATCAGCCTCTGTAGAATTTTCCGCAGCCATGACCATGCTAAAATCCTCAAACTAGCCAGAAACTCCTTCCTTTGGCGTGCGCTTCAAACAGGTACGGTTGTACTGATTCGAGAAAGACTCCGGGAAAAAGGCTGCGGACTGCTTCAATATGCTGCGGGTTCTGCTTGATTCTCAACAGGATGAAACCGAATTCCGAATCGAGAAGCCACTCAAAAATCCCACTTCACACAAGCCCAAAAAGAACGACGACATATCTCTGAAAAGGGGAGTTCGCCATATGGAAAGCTGTTCAACGTCAGATATATTGCGAGCACAATGAGCCGTGCCCTGCAAATGATCGAGTTTCTGAAAGAAGGGAAAGCGAGGCAAAGAGGGAAGACCAGGAGTATTGACTGTTCTTACACGATGGTCAAAACGACTGGTTCATGATTTTCTGATATAATATTTCGGCAAAGGGAGAAACACCTTCTCCCACCACGGGTATCTAAAAAAACCCAGTCCAAACCAAATCGGAGCGGGTCAAAGAGAGGTCGGTTACCCTGCTAATAAAGATGAAGGGTCATAAATAGTTCCAGATAGTTGAGGGGGTACTGGAAGGTGAATAGGTTGAATTCTTTTCGTCCTTTGGGCTGAGAAGGAACGAGGCAGGCGATGATCAGGTTGGGATTCGCTTGTCTCCTCTTTCAGTGGTGCGCTTAACCGCGCGCGTATGTAAGTCGCCCTGGCCCACTGTCTGGCAGGTCCGCCTGAATAGCCGCGGAGAATCGCGATTGCGGTGTTCGAAAACTTGGGCTTTGTCAATTAAGTATGACAGACTGAATACTTTTTTTTAAGCACTTCTTGCGGCATCTCTAAGATTGCATCTTTCACATTCATACAATTATTATTTTTTCGATTTTTTTTCGGCTCGGCATATCATTTGATTCAGATGAATCGATACCGGAACGCACCAGGCATCAGAGGCCCTACCAAGGCGACTGCCAGTACTCTGTGTCAAAAATGCTTGAAGCGAGATAAGTACATAGATTTTGGTGGCTTTCTACATTTGACTGACTCCTTTATACGACATTACAGTTATGAATGCACGGTATCTGCACAGGAACGACCATATACATCTCGACCTTCTCGCACACAACAACTGCAAAACCCCAATCTGCGGCCGAAGCTGACGACTGATGTTCCAAACGAACTGTTAGGGTCGTAAGTTGGTGCATGAGTTATTGAGTGTGGAAAACTTAGCTGACATTGGTGGTAGTAGAGGTGTCGCCGATGAGATATTAGCAAGACGAGGAGAGGAACGAGGTCGCAAGAGGGAGCTAGGGGATTCAGATCCATTTGATGACGGCCATCATGCATCGAAGCGGAGTAGGTCGGAGTCGTCCCACTCAATGTCGTCAGTCTCAACGATATCGACCAGTCGATCGCATTCAGTCTCGCCGCCACGGCATGATGTTTATACTGAAAGCAGGGGGCGAGACCGAGCACAATCAGTGTCGTCGCCTCAGCCACAAACAAGAAAGAGACGATACAGTGACTCATTATCCGATCATACTGGCTCTCCTTACTCTTCCGGTGGGCGACAGCGCTCTCGATCGAGGGAATGGGAGACAGACAGAAACACAAGACGAAGGCGTCGGGAATCTAGCCCTGAAGAGCGTGGTCGACCTAGGAACATCTCTGAGGACGGCAGCCGGAGGGGTAGGACACGGAGCCTAAGTATGGACCAGAGTCGAATTGCCAAAGAAAGGCGGTCGGCGACTCCAGATACAGTGAAGGGACGGCATCATCCAACAAGAGATTTGGAGGGAAACATGAGCCGGTCGAGGCACCTGGACGGCCAGCGCAATCACGCCTTCAGCGGACCTATGTCCGGTTCAGCGCGCAGGGAAAGAAGCCTCAGTCCTTACAGTAAGCGCCTGGCGCTGACTCAGGCCATGAACATGGAACGCTGAGTCGGAATCAATTAAGTCGAGTAAAAGGAGAATGTGGAGGTTTTTCTCTCAGGCGTTCGACTGGATTGGAAAATATTGTGCTTTCTTGATCCCAGCCAGTAATGTACTATAGTAATACAGAAGATCATAATTGCATTAACATCCATGCAATTAAAATGCAGATGACCGCTAACGCCTGTTTCTGACCGTCCCGAGTCCCAACTCTGCAGCGCCATAGTAATGTGTTGTATGATAAAAAAAAGCATATACGGCCATAGATCAAGCTGTGCGAATCCTCATGGGTATCATGAATCTTCCTCGATTTCTCGTCTTTCTTCTTCCTCTTCCCTCTCGCGGACGTGAATCCCTTCCACCAGCATGTCTCCTTCAATGCCTACCTCCTCTCCCTGCTCATCTTCGTTGCGGGTCGTTCCCTGCGCCTTGGCTGCTCGTTGCGCATTCTCCATGCGCTGTCGAACCAATCTCGCAATTGCATTTTCCGTCCTTACATTAAGAATTTTCACTTTTTCATCAAGGTCACGCTTTAGGTCCCAATTAGGCTTCTTTGGCTGCAACTTGAATAGGTCGATCGGTTGGTCCTTCTCCGCATCCTTCTTCGCCTGCTCCGCCGTAGCCTTTGCTATCTCAGCAGCTTGCGCTTCAAGAGTCTTCGCTCCTTCTGTTGGCGCTTGATCAAAACCCAGCTTAGGCCCTCGAGTTTCTGCATCGAAATTGCGTCCGGACAGATATTTTCTTGTGACATCGGGAGCGGTATCCTCAAGCTCATGGTCTCCAGCACGCGTCTCTGTGAGTGTCTCCGGTTCCGGTTGCTTCCTCTTTAGAGCTGCAAGCTTCGCAAGACGGGCTTTGCGTTCTGTTGCCGCCGCATCAAGGGAGGTGTGATTCAGCGACATTGTATTAGAGGGAAAGAAGTAGAAGAAATAGCAACGGAAAGTAAAATTCCAGGGGTTCGAGAAATACCGCTGGCTTCGATTATAGAAGTGATGAGTTCGCTAAGTTTGCCCCAAGGCGACTTTGCGACAAAAGAAAAGGTCTCCGAGTTTTTGGTACAAGTAGATGAGGTACCCTCACTTTCTGCGGTCTTGATAACATCCATACGATTTATCGGAAGCGGTGCGCCACAATTAAATTGTCACTAGCCACATCCGCGTCGGATCAAAATTGGCGGCATTTTCTGCGGGTTGACCCATCCATGCAATGATCTATGAAACTGTCACTCAACGATTCTTCGCCGTCCCCATCGCCTCTTTGATTCGCTAGTATCCTGTTCGGAATCATTCATCAATGTACGCGATCAAGAAGTACTGAATGTCATTTTGTCCGCAGCGTCTCCTTCGTTCCCGCTTCAGCGCTGGACTGCCATCCTGGGATCCGCACCACAGATGGTATCAACCAGGGACGGGCATTCAAGGCGCGAGAGCATTATATTCCGGTAATGATGCGTCGAATACGAGAACTCAGCTCCCTCCCGCCGTTGATACCGCTATTATCCGTACAACGACCCCCTATACTATTCCGGAAGATCCTTGTCGGAAAAGTGTACCTCGGAGATTATCCTCTACAACGTCCACCGTCGATAAGACTTTCAGTCCCGATTCACCCTCCGGGATTGATCTAATTGAGTCGCAATCGTCCACAGTACTCGAGGACCCTTTTCCTTGTGCTGAACAGGAGCTAGTGGCTCCTAATGAAGTTGGAAAATATGCGGGCCGACGACCAAGATTTCCAAGCTTCAAACGCCTGCTTTCGATCCCAGGACGGAGTAGTATCTTCACCTCAGGTCCGGCGCCAGCCATAATATACAAAACCAAGGTCATGGTTAGGGGTCAGCCCAGAAATAGACAAAGAGTTCTCCGCCCTAAAACTGTGGCTCTGGAGAAGCGCATCAGATCTCAGACCTTCTTTCACGAAGGCGCGAATATACGCACATGGAGAATTGCACAAAGCGATCTGTACAGGTCCAAATTCTACGAAAGAGAGATCCGAAATGAGTTCTTGAGAGACTTGAAGCCGAACCCCGCCGAGCTGGACCTCCTAGAGAAACTCAAAACGGATAGCCAAGGCAGTTTCCGTGAGGCTTGGGAGGCCTTAAGCAAGAGGGACAAAGCTCTTCACTGGCACAATCTATCTCTATGGTTGTTGAAGGAGTCTCCAGAGCTCGCTCTAGAATTCTTCTCAGTGACCACTCATGGCAAGGAGAGGCCTGTCTTTGTGATGGTTGCAGATGCCTTCCTTTTCTTGGACTCGTTTTACTACGACAGGCTCAAAGACTGGAGAAAAGGTCCGCAGACATATCAATCTGTCTTCAATGCCGCCTTGGGACCCCGCAATTGGCCAATTCTCCTTTTGCCGCAAAAAATCGTTCGACTTTATGTGAAGCGCGCTGATCGTGACGCAATTTACTATGCTTATAAACTTGTGTGTGAGCGCAAGATTCATACAAAAGCGGAGACCCATCTTTGTTTCATGTGGCGATTCATCGAGTTCAAGGACGTCAATCAGGCACTTGACGTTCTTGACAACGTGCGGCGAATGAAACAGGTTGAGTTTGGGATGGATTCTCAGAGCGTGATGCGCCACTGCTGCAAGCTTCTCACACTTGATTCGGTCCAAGAAGGGCCGGAAGGGCGAAATTTCTACATTCTTCCCAAATTACTCAAAATGGGTGTTCGGCCAGATCGGGATATGATGAACGTTGTTTTGTCCAATGCCTTCAAAACAGGTGACGAGCAGTTGGGGCTCGATATGCTGGAATATATGAAAAATAATGGCCTTGAACCAGACTCTTACACTCATTTGATCCTCCTCAACGATGCCGTTGCGCGAGGGAATCGAGACCGAGTTAGTTCTTTGATTCGGGAGATCGAATCTAACGAGGAGCTACTGAAGAATCCTTGGATCGCAAGTAAGATCTTCCATGCTCATTTCGTTTTCACTGCGAAGCATATAAATCCAGATGACGATCCGGATGCGGTGTTCTATTCCATGCTGGAGATGTATAACAAGCTACATGATATTACTCCTTTGAAGGAGCTCTCTATCTTACCACCTGAATACACACCTCCGCCGGGAGGTGACAATACACCACCTACCACGATCGCTTTGTTTCTCATGATTGCAACATATCTACGCTGCCGAAGGCGTGTCTCTATTGCTCAGCGCCTTTATACGAACTTTCGCTCCCTGGTGCTGCAGGGACACCCCACAATTGCTCCTCTGGCAGCAAGCGATCACGTTTATAACGAGTTCCTTGTGGCGTTTCGGGACAATCCTCGGGGGTTGCGACCAGCTATGCGAGTAGTTGAAGACATGCTGCAGACTTCTGCCCTAACAAGCAATAACCGGGCAATGCAGGAACAAGCAAGTGGTCATGCCTTACCTTCTGTTCGAACATGGACAATTTTGATGAGTTGCTTTATCTTCAACAAACAACCGCACGCTGCAGAGAGAGTGAAGGAGATGATGGCTGAACACAATGTTGAATTCAACAAGGTCACCTGGAATATTATCATCAGTGGTTACGCCTGCAAACAAAGAGTTTTTGACCTTGCCCAAACAATCAAAGCTATGGAGGACGCGGGATACGTCATTGACTCCTACAACATGAAGGCTCTTCGTTACCTTCGAGACCCTGAACGACTGTGGGTGGCTTTGGAAGAGTTGGACAAGCTATCACAACCTTCTCTCACCACGTTGGCCGACTCTAAACTCGCGCCTCCAAAGAGCGACAAAAAGACAAGGGATGAGCTTTTGGATCAAGGGCTCAAACGGTTGAGGGAGAAACTGAAGCCCAAATTATGAAGATACCCCTAAATCTTTTGACGTCTTTCGTCTCATTGTTTATGGTTATTGCATCAGAAGCGTGGGTTCCGGAAAACTGGACGACTTCCAAGGGCAGGGAGTCACAGCTAAAGCACGGGTGTTTCTATTGGTATATAGAGCGTTTCTACAATTTTCTTGTAAATTATCACCCGGACGTATGTACATTAGAAATAAGCATGACAAACTCCTACGCATGATATTCCATATCCCGGTACAAGGGGAGAAATGAATGAACGCCGACAAGTCAAGGAAGGCACTGAATTTGATAGCATGAGACATACAGCTGAGGGATACGTTTCAGCCGCCAAAGAAGATTGAGACCTGAAGTTGATACCATCGTTAGCTCTAATATGCGTCGGATATGATGATGGAGAATCGGCGTGTACTCACTGCCATCAGTACGCAGCAAATACTAACGTACGGGCTCAGACGTTCTCCAATACGAGCGCACTTCCAGAATATCCCGAAGAACCTGAACGGTGCGAATGTCAGTCATCGAGTAATTTGTGGTAGGAACCAGTGAAACGACAGATTGCTGAGAACCTACCCACGCTGGTTACGGTCCATGATTCCTGGCATGATGGAGTGCGCATAAGTGCTTGTGCAAATAATAAGCAAGAACACAAGGAGAAGTGACTGAAAGTTAAATAAGGCGGACTGCGACATCAGTTAGCTTTACTCTGTCTGGCCTGGTGCGCGATGGTGAGGCTTCTCAAGTAAAGAGAGCATTCACTCTATTTTAAACTCACCATCTTGACTGTAGCAGAGGGTCACCACCCTTCTTCCTTACGCACAAACTCAGGCAAAAACTCCTAGTTACGTGATTGATCAATCAATCAGTTTGTGCTTTTTGAGGACGGCTATCACTGTCTCATGCCTGGTGTTCACACACTCTAAGATGGCAGATCACAGTGATAACAGTTCTGACCGCCTCAGCAGTCCTGCCGGCATGAATCCTACTCACCGCTCTAGACACCGCCATGTCCGCAGAGGCAACACTATCAGTAATTCCGCGGCTCATCATACTCCGTTGTCTGTTACAGCAGAAAGATCCTCACGACCGCCGCAACGCACTCCAAAGCCATCAGTCCCAGCACAATTTGGCAGTTCTGGCCATGTGCCAAGCGAGCTCGCTCCTCCTTGGCCTTTTAACCCCCAGGAGACTGCCCTGATACGCGCCGGATATATTCCAGCCTTCAAACCAGAAGTCCCAGCTGCACAGGAAGATTCTGCGTCGGAAACAGATTCCAAGAAGAAAAAAAAGCAGAATCGAGACAATCCATCCAGCATGGCGGAACCTAGAGCACGTGCTGCAAGGCACAAGGGTCAGATGAATTTTGCATCGGAGCGTACGTGACTACTAACTGCTTTCCATTATGGAATTGATATCGCGTGTGCAAAGGGCTTCTGCGGCTAATATATGGCAATCTAGTGCGTCTTCTGCTTCTGGCATATGGAGATCCCAGCCCTCATCCATCCTTCCCATCTGAGCCCCTTCCCGAGACCGTCCGCGTTCTTGATGAGATCGTCACCGACTTTGTCCTTGAGATGTGCCACAATGCAGCCCAGTATGCCAGCTACTCCCGTCGCCAGAAGATCAAGGTCGACGACTTTCGTTTTGCGTTGAGGCGCGACCCGAATAAACTCGGTCGTGTCCAGGAACTCTTGCGGATGGAGCGCGAGCTGAAAGAGGCTCGTAAGGCATTTGATCAGAATGATGATCAAGTCGGAAATCTCAAGGATGCGGGCAAGAAGGGACTCGAGGAGCTGGGCGAGGGCGCAGATGGAGCAGGAGGAAAGAAGACCAAGGGCAAGGGAAAGCGACCTTCCAGGAGAGATTCAGATGCTACAGAGGATACTGTTTTGAAGAAGAGGAAGCTCTGAGCAGGCAGGCCGTTTTGCTACAGCCCTTGTCCAGGTCAAGATTTCGGCGTCGACGGTCCTTTCACGTTGCCTACTTGATGGAAAACCCGGCTGGGCTTCTCCAAGAAAGGCGTTTTTCCTCTCCCATATCAAACGACACATCTGAGGCATGGTCTCGAAGGATTACTGGAAAGATCTCGGAGTTTCGAATGTACATGCTCGTGCCTTAGCGGGTGCCAGCGGTGAGATTTCGTCTACCAGTAGCCGCACCAGGGAGCTCCCGTCCTGTCTATTTCCTCTTTTCTTGGCTTCTTTCTTTATCATTATGATGGCTTGAAAAGTTAGCTCTGATACTGTCACCGGGCGTGAGTCGCTCGGGATGTATGTAGTGATCATCAAGGAAGAGCTTCTCAGACTCCTTAGCCTATGCCTCACTGGCGCCTACGCATCGCCGCTTATGGTAGCGTGTATGCCCCTTTGTAACTTTCGACAGATAGTTAACCAATCTTTAACAATGTCTTGGCTATGCTGTGGTGTGCGTTGATGGTAAGCATGGGATGCACCTGGACTATTAACTCAAATACTGCTTTCCTGTCACGTTCGTGTGGTCCCTCGGCAGTCATCGATGGCTTCTTGGAGGCCTCTTGTGATTCTGCTGAAATCTCCATTGCCTTTCGTTTGGGACGTTCAGGGAGGTCCTAAGCCACAGGCCCACACCTGATAATTATTTAATGAACATTGAATCTAATAAGCAATTGGAGATAGACTGTTTCCAGCCTATGAATTTGATGTAGGAAGTGCTGACTTCCCATATACTACTTCCACGATGTAAGTGCTAAGTGTAAGTTATTTAGCTAAGGGGCGTGCATCTCTGCAAGTTTTTGGGCGAGTCTCAACACAATTGGGACTTCAATATCGGGAAAGCAACCAGTTGCGTCAGTGTATGGAACAGGGGAGAAAAAAAAAAAAAAAAAAAAAATGAGACGACACCTCTGGGATTCGAACCCTGTGATAGATTGTTAGAAATTGATATTCATCTATGTGAATATTGTAGGGGAACATACCAGGCGGGCGAACCCACAGGCTTAGCAGGCCTGCGCCTTAACCACTCGGCCAAAGTGTCCGAAGATGGAAATCTTACTGTGTATAGGGTATATGGAGCGACTAGTTGGGCACACGCCAATTCCGTCCTAGAAACCTTCCACATCTGCCCTCATCTACGGAGTACTCCTTATTCTGCTCCGGCGTGGCGAATCCTCAAGGTAGCGCTGGTCACTTTTAGATTGCTGGCCGGAGATCCAGGAAACTTGTGTAATGTATCCAAGGTAAGTGTATGAATAGCTATCCAACTGATCTCTTAGCTACTGTAGTACCATGATTAAGTATCCCAGAAAACTTCGCGATGGTCAGGTTACTGCAAGGAGGACCGCTACACCACAGGTTACAAGCCAAGGAAAGAGGAAGAGAAGGAAGTAAAAGCAGGAGAACCTCCATGACAGCTGCGGGCCTCGGTTAGATCGCTAAGTACTGTGTAGGTAATCTACCTTATTCTGTACTCGTGCAGGGCTTCCTAGTCCAAGTGAGTGATTCGGATATGAGCTTGATATTAGGTATAAATATTCCGTTTTGGACACCCTATACAGTGCTTGCCTCCAGTAGGCTTATTTTGGGTGGTAAATTACCCATTAGACACTTTGGCCGAGTGGTTAAGGCGCAGGCCTGCTAAGCCTGTGGGTTCGCCCGCCTGGTTAGTAACATCGTTATCATAAAGTGTCAACTTTCTCTAACAATTCCCAACAGGGTTCGAATCCCAGAGGTGTCGTAATCTTTTTGCCTCTTTTTAGATCCGTTTTTGTACCCATCGTCTGTCGGAAGGGTCCTCATCCAGTCTGAAACGCTGAGTACCCCGCTGTAAAGTGCTGGGCGAAGCGCCGGTCTTATCGTAGAACAATCCAAGGTTGTCTAGCACATATGTCCATTTCGTCATGACTAACACGTCGCTGAGATAGTGATCATCTCATAAACATCTGGTTTACATCGCAACTATCAGATGACCAAGGTCCTCCCTCTCCAGAAAATAAGGGCCGTGGAACTCGATCCACGTACACAGGTGTATATCCATTTCCCCGATATCCTCCCCATTCATCCCCTTGAGCAAAGCCAGAATGACTCCTGTACGCCGTGCTTTTCTTCGTTGGACCCCTTGGTCGCCTCGTCGTATGTCTGATCCTCGCCTTAACCTGGCAACAGTATGCTAACAAAGGTGGAGATATAGAGCCAGGCCACCAGTACTGAAAAATTCTTCCAAAGCAAACCCAGGACGAGATACAGACAGACACACATCAATAAGAAGACTGATCGGGGGTAAAAAAAAGATAATGATAGGAAGAAGAATCACAAGGACTGAACAGCTGTATGAGAGAAAACGTAGGTATCTTCACAATATGTCCTTATTCCCCTCACGCGCGGACTTCCTCAGTGGCCCGTTCTTGAGTACGCTGCTGTCCGCCACGGCCGCCCCTGCCGCCTCTCTGCCCACGCTGAGCGCCAGCCTCGGCGCTACCAGCCTCTCCGCCCAGAGTGAGCTGAGCAGTTGCTAGCCGGTTGGACAGTTCCATCTGTGTGCGAATGGTGTTGGCCAGATAAGACACGACCAACACGTCCTGGATGTGGTTGTTGCTGTAACGTAGTTAGTATCAGGTAAGAAACCACCAAAGAAAGGAGGCCGCAAAGAAAACATACAAGTCACGTTCAATGTCGGCGGGTTCAACCTTGGGGGCCAAGGCCAAGGCATTGAGGAGGAACTGGCCCAGTGCCGTCGAAGCGGGGGCTTCTTCATCAATGACGGACTCGACGTATCTGGAGACTCTGTCGATCATGCCAAGAACCTCCTCGATGGCACGCTCCAGAGCCTCGATATCAGTGAAGATGTTCGTAGCACGGCTTTCGGCGTCTTTGGCGGAAGCAATAGTCTCGAGGCCACTCTTTTCGGTCTCGCCATAGCGAATCTCATAAGGGACAGGGATGAAAGCGGCGCTGTCTGCAGCCCTCTCGGCGGTCACACCGACAGGGGCGGAGATGTAGGCGCGGGTCTCAATATCCTTCCCAGGCTCAGTAGACACCGTCAGATGGACGGCAGGATGGGGCCATGTGCCGTCACCCTGGCCGCTGTAGAAGTTCTGGATCAAGGCGGAGAAGGTGTTTAACTCGGACGACGTGGCGTACCAACCAACAAGCACTTCCTTCGGGTTGGCTTTGAGGTGCAGCGCAAGCATTTGCTTCTGGTATTCCATATCCACCTCGACCTGGTCGGTCGTCTCTGTGTGCCCAACAGCAAAGGTGCTACGGATTTCCACCTCGGTTCCATCCTCTGACCTGGTTCCAAGCAGGGTACCGATGACACGCTCCTGATCGGCATTGCGACGGAGGGAATGGTCGAGAATCGAGAAAATGGCCTGTTACAAGGTGATGAGTAAACCCGATCATTCGACGTCTCCCAAGAAGGTATCCAGGACATACCTGAGGCTGAATGACAACGTTCAGAGGGGCGGTGGTTGGTGCAGACCCCACTGCCACTGGGCCCAGAGGGCGAGCAAGGTGAAGGAAAGAATCGGATTCAGCCATGTTGGAAATGTAAAAAAAAAAAAAATATGCCGGAAGCCTGTCTCTCTCACAGTCTTGAATGCTTCCTTGCCGGTGGTGGGGATGGCTCTGTAGTCTTTTTTCTTTCTAATTCTTCCGCCCGCTCAATCTCGGCGGAGTTCTTCGAGGCTCAAATTGTGTGTGCGCCCAAAGGGGAATTTCGCGCTAAGATAAGATAAGACCGAGCCCCGAAGCAAAGAAAAAAAATATGAGCTTGAACAGCAGGACTTGATCGTGCTTGTCAAGAGCTGTAACTCAAGCGCATACTATCAGAGAACTTTTCACTAGCCTAGAAAATGAGAGGTGGTAAATCCAGCAGAGGACGAGGCAAAGGACCGAGGGGCCAGACCAAGAGAAGGAATGGCTTCACCACCTCGCGAGTCGAAGACGTAGAGTAAGTATAAACTTTTCCTATCTTGCGAGTCTCGCTCATTGAATAACTATAAATTTATCTATTAGATCGGAGGGTCATTCCGATGATGAATCGCATCTCAACCAAGAGCCTGTTGGAGATGAAATGGACCACGAAACCCAAATGGACGTTGTCTCGTCTGATAGCGACGACGAAGACCAGCAGACAGCTCGTCCGTACAACGAATTGATCCAATTACTCCAAGCAAATACGGAACCTAAAGGCCCCGCTAGGAAGAAGAGAAAGGTTGCGCACAACGGAGAAGAGAAGAGAGATGCCGGGCCGGCCACGAACGGAGAAGAGGACGATGCGGCCCTACTAGGAGATGATGATTTTCAAGAGCAGGAGCGGTCAGACGAAGAAGAGGAAGATCACCCAGAGGAAGCGGACGGAAAACTTGAGACTGACGACGAAGAAGATGGTATTTATCCGAACCGACCCGCCACTGTTGATCTAAACTTCTAACGCTCTACAGCAAACGACCCTTTTGAGACTCACTTTTCGATAGTAGAAGAGAGCGAGCTGGTCAAGAAGATTAAATCAGCAGAAGAAAAGAAATGGAAAAGCACGAAGAAGGAAATCGCTAGCGGGTTGAAGTTGATACGCGCTGTTCCCGACGTTGGCGATGGCGAAGTATCCTTGCTACTAGCAATGAAGCACTTCTCAAGCGTCAAGGTAAGCCACAGACCCAGTCTAGAAACCCAATATCGACCTTCAAGATCGTTTCTTCTAAATCACTTATAGCTCAAGAAGAAACTTTATGGTCCTGCCACGGAGCGGATCCCAGCAATCAGCGGTGACGCTCAGCATCTCGCGCCTTACATCTTCGGCTATCAAGATGTTTTATACGGAGCCCGAACAACGTCGAACTCGGGCGCGATGCGGGATATCCTAGCCGTCCATGCGGTCAACCATGTCCTAAAGACACGGGACCGAGTGCTGAAGAACAACGCTCGCGTTGCCAAAGAACAGGACGCAGACCTGGACCTTCGGGACCAAGGGTTTACCAGACCGAAGGTGCTTTACCTTCTGCCGACAAGACAAGCTTGCGTTCGAGCGGTCGAGTCCATAACACGCTTCTTCCAGCCGGAGCAGCAAGAGAACAAGAAGCGGTTCTTGGACACATTTTCTGCAGCCGACGACAAATCCTGGGAAAACAAACCTGAAGACTTCCGGGAGCTTTTCGGCGGCAACGACGATGACATGTTCCGGCTGGGTCTCAAGTTCACTCGGAAGACCATGAAGTACTTTTCACAATTCTACAATTCGGATATAATCTTGGCGAGTCCCCTGGGTCTACGCACAATCATGGACCAGGCCGAGTAAGTAGATCTGAGTCTTGATTCTCCGCGAGTTTACCTTGCTGACTGCCGTCCAGCGCAAAAAAGCGTGACCACGACTTCTTGTCGTCAGTCGAAGTGGTCGTAGTCGACCACGCCGACGCTTTGCTCATGCAGAACTGGGACCATGTCGACTACATTCTCAATCACCTCAATCTACAGCCCAAAGAGGCTCACGGGTGTGATTTCAGTCGTGTGCGAACATGGTACTTGGACAACCAAGCCCGATTTGTCCGCCAGATGATCGTCTCTGCTTCATTTATCACACCCGAGATCAACTCCTTATTCTCCACACATATGCAGAACTTCGCAGGAAAGATCAAGGTGACGCCGGTGTACGCGGGGGCTATCTCTGAGGTGCCCCTCCCAGTATCCGTCAAGCAGACGTTTTCGCGGTTCGACAGTCTCACGCCGACCAAAGACCCGGACGCGCGGTTCAAGCATTTCACCACGACGGTGCTCTCGTCCTTGGTGCGAAACATCACCTCCAGCCGGGACAAGAGCAGTGCGGGAGGCACCTTGATCTTCATCCCGTCGTACTTGGACTTTGTGCGAGTGCGCAACTACTTTGCAACATCCTCGCAGACCACGAACGTCTCCTTCGGGGCGATCTCGGAATATAGCGAGGTCCGGGAGATGACACGGGCACGCACACACTTCATGAACGGGCGGCATTCGGTGCTGCTGTACACGGAGCGCTTGCACCATTTCCGTCGGTATCAGATCCGG